ACAAAGAGGACCTAAAGGAATGCAGGGTATGTATCAATATCCGTGTGCGTCAAAAGCAATCTGGTCAAAATGCATCGTATGTGCTTGCATTAACACATACAAATCATTCGCATTATTTGTATTCGCAACATTTCAAAATTTTTGAAAGATTGCAAACAACTCATCTTTTTCATTTCTTAAATAACATGTATGCATATCTGTTTGATTTTAAAGTCATGTGTATATGTCTTCTTTTATATTGTGAGAAACAACGAATAAGGTACGATTCAAACACTTTAAGTCACAGAACTTTCAAAAAGAAATATCTGTATATCGTAATAATGATGGCCTTTCATATTCTCTATCTTAATGTGTGATTGAACAAATCACATAAAATCTCACCTTTTAAAAAGATATTGCAGCGGCCACTTGCAATTGATCAACAAATATGAATGCATCATTTCAAGCAATAGATTGGACTGCTGTTTTAGCGGATGCACTGAATAAGTTGCTAGGATCTGGATGTTAAAAAGCATTATTATCATGAAAATAACTTTTCCAATAAAAAAGGAAAAAAAGACTAAAAAAATATTAGAATAAAAAAAAAAAAATCTTCTAACTCCTACTGAATTTTTGTATGTTCCATGTCAAAGTTCTGTCAAAATCTGACAGAAATAGAACCGTATGCATGCTTATTTTAAAGTTTTGATTGAAATTAAGATCCCAATGACATAAAGTTTATACTAAAGCATTTACCTTTGTTCCTTGTGCGTAGTTATAAATTGTTAAAGAATAACATATTTTGGCCTGTAAATATCTTTTTTTTTCTTATTGTTAAGCATTGTTATTCTTAAAGTTGCATACATCAGATGTATGTAATCTTTATTTAAATGAATATAGGTATTTTCATCTGAAGGGACTTTAATTTCTGGTTCCAGTTTTTATGACTGTAGTTAATTTTTTGGAAAAATTTCAATAAGTCAATACCTTTATTTCAGAAAAATAAGACACATTTAAGACGGAAATTGACGTCAAAAGTGCAAAAACAACACAAGGCGACCATTTGGTCTTTAAAAAATTGAGATATTTTCCTATAAACAAACAAACTGCAAAACGCACAGTAAAACTCAGTTTTATAGAAATCAGAGTCCTACTTAAGAATGGGAAACGGAAGGAACTGAGGAAAATGACAATTATCAACATAAATTGTTAAAGGAATACTAGCAGTTACTGTCGTGCTAGCTCCAGACTTCAATCAAACTGCTAGAACGATTACGTCTCCGTTATATCACTAAAAAAATCAATGTCTTTCGTAGTATTATATTGCTTGCAATCTGTTTTTTAGGAAATAAAGGACCATCAGGACCTAGAGGACCCAAAGGACCTAATGGAATGCATGGTATGTATCAACATCCGTATGTGTCAAAAGGAATCTGGTAACAATGCATCGTTTGTGCTTGCTTTAACACATACAAATCATTCGCATTGATTGTATTCGCAGCATCTCAAAATCTTTGAAAGATTGCTAACAACTCATCTTTTTAATTGAACATGGAATGCATGGTATGTATCAACATCCGTATGTGTCAAAAGGAATCTGGTAACAATGCATCGTTTGTGCTTGCTTTAACACATACAAATCATTCGCATTGATTGTATTCGCAGCATCTCAAAATCTTTGAAAGATTGCTAACAACTCATCTTTTTAATTTTTTAAATAATGTGTTTGCATATCTGTTCAATTTTATAGTCATGTATATATTTGTTCTTGTATATTGAGAGAAACAAAGAATAAAGTACGATTCAAACACTTTAAGTCACAGAACTTTCAAAAAGAAATATTTTGATATCGTAATAATGATGGCATTCCATATTCTCTATCTTAATGTGTGATTGAACAAATCACATAAATCTCACCTTTTAAAGAGATATTCCAGCGGTCACTTGCAATTTATCAACAAATATGAATGTATCATTTCTAGCAAAAGATTGGGCTGCTGTTTTAGCGGATGAACCGAATAAGTTGCTAAGATCTCGATGTTAAAAAGCATTATTATCATGAAAAAACTTTTTAAATAAAAAAGGAAAATACTAGTAGACTAAAAAATAAAAGAATAAAAAAAAATATATCTTTTAACTCCTACTGAAGTTTTGTATGTTCCATATCAAAGTTATATCAAAATCTGAATGGCACCGTATTCATGCGTATTCTAAAATCATAGATTGAAATAAGGATCTAAATAACATAAAGTTTACACTTAAGTATTTAATTTGTTCCTTGTGCGTAGTTATAAATTGTTGAAGAATAAAAATATGTTCGACTATGAAAATCATTCTTTTTCATAGTGTTAAGCATTATTATTCTAAAAGTTGCAAAGACGAAAGCTTTATTTCAATGAATTTAAGTATTTTTCATCTTAAGAAACTGGAATGTGATTCCAATTTCCATGATTTAACCTTTTGCAAAAGCTCAATGTTTTATTTTAAACATGGTAAACAATAAAACAAAGTAAATACCTTAATTAAAAAAAGAAATCGCTGTCAACAGATGTAATCTTCAATAGAGCATACAACAGTTTTATTTATTCCATGTGTTTGTTTTTTTTTATATTTTAAACGTAAGGCCCCATTTCGACTTTGGGAATTCAACACACCCTTTAGTAAGGTTTCCCGTCATCACTGACTCAATCCAGCTTTGTCAGATGGGAGATGTCACTCCAAAGGACTTTTATGTTAAATTTGCAAATCAACAGTCGAGTTAACACACCAATAGAATAGAAAATGGAAACGGGGAATGTGTAAGAGAAACAGCAATCCGACGAAAGTGCAAAACCTGTACAAGACCACCAGTTGGTATTTAAAGAAGTGAGAAAACTTGCACAAAAAAGACAGCAATACGCACAGTAAAACATAATCTTAAAGAAATCAGAGTCATTTGTAAGAATTGTAAACAAGAGAAAGTAAGCAAAATGACAATCATGAACATAAATTAACAAAGGAATACCAGCAGTTACTGTCGGGCTAGCTCCAGACCTCAATTAAACTAATTGAATGATTACGTCTTCATCAAAAGACCAAAAACAATGTCTTTCGTAGTATTATATTAATGGCAATCTGTTTTCCAGGAGCGAAAGGACCACCAGGACCTAGAGGACCCAAAGGACCCAAAGGAATGCATGGTATGTATCAACATTCGTGTGTGTCAAAAGCAATCTGGTAAAAATGCATCATATGTACCTGCATTAACTCATAGAAATCATTCGCGTTGTTTGTATTCGCAGTATTTCAAAATCTTTGAAAGATTGCAAACAACTCATCTTTTTAATTTCTAAGATAACATGTTTGCATATCAGTTCAATGTTAAAGACATGTATATGTATGTCTTGGATATTGTGTAAAACAAGAATAAGGTACGATTAAAACACTTTAAGTCATAGAACTTTCAAAAAGAAATATTTTGATATCATAACAATGATTGCATTCCATATTCTCAATCTTTAAGTTATGGTTTGAACAAATCACTTAAAATCTCACTTTTAAAGAGATATTCTAGAGGCCACTTGCACTTGTTGGAAAAAAAAATATGTATCAATTCTAGCAGTTTGCGCTACTTTTCTAGCGGAGTACTGGATAATGTGCTAGGATCTGGAGGTAAAAAAAAACATTATTATGATGAAAAACTTTTTGAATAAATAGGAAAAGTAGACTAAAAAATATAACAATAAATTTTTATATGTTCCATGTCACAGTTACATCAAACACTTTGTAAGAAATGGAATTGTATGCATGCTTATCTTAAAGTCAGAGATTGAAGTTAAAATCTCAATAACATAAATTTTACACTAAAGTATTTACTTTTGTCCCTTGCACGTAGTTATAAATTGTTAAAGAATAAGAATATTTTCGACTGTCAACATTGTCCTTCATGTTTAGTGTTTAGCATTGTAATTCTAAAAGTTGTAAACATCAGATATAAATCATCTTTATTTTAATGAACTTAAGTATTTTTCATATAAAGGAACTTGAGGTTTTGGTTCCAATTTCTATGACTATACTTAACGTTTCTGCAAAAAGCTCAATGTTATATTTCCAACAAGGTTAACATCAAAACGAAGTCGATCCCTTAATTTAAAAAAAAAAATATTTTAAAAGAAAATTGCCGTCGACATGTTATCTTCAATAGAGCATAAGACAGTTCATTTTATTCTAAAGGTTTGTTTTATATTTTAAACGTACGGCCAATGAAACGAAATCGATACCTAAATTTAAAAAAAAAAATATATTTAAAAAGAAAATTGCCGTCGACATGTTATCTTCAATAGAGCATAAGACAGTTCAGTTTATTCCAAAGGTTTGTTTTATATTTTAAACGTACGGCCAATGAAACGAAATCGATACCTAAATTTAAAAAAAAAAATATATATTTAAAAAGAAAATTGCCGTCGACATGTTATCTTCAATAGAGCATAAGACAGTTCAGTTTATTCTATAGGTTTGTTTTATATTTTAAACGTACGGCCCATTTCGACTTCGGGCATACAAGACACCTTTTAGTAAGATTTTCTGTCATCATTGACTCAATCGAGCTTTGTCAGACGGGAGATGTCACTCCAAAGGACTTCATGTTAAGTTTGCAAATAAACAGTCGAGTTAACACATCAATAGAATAGAAAATGGAAACGGGGAATGTGTGAAAGAAACAGCAACCCGATCAAACTACAAAAACAACGCAAGGCCACTAGTGGGTATTTAAAGAAGTGAGACAACTTGCAATAAAAAATCACAGGAATACGCACATTAAAACATAGTTTTAAAGAAACCAGAGTCCTATGTAATAATGTGAAACAGAAGAAACTACCCAAAATAGTAATCATCAACATAAAGTAACAAAGGACTACTAGCAGTTCCTGTCTTGCTAGATCCAGACCTCAATTAAACTGATCGAACGATTATGTCTTCATCATATTACCAAACAATAAATGTCTTTCGTAGTAGTATATTGATGGCAATCTGTTTTCCAGGAAATAAAGGACAACCAGGACCTAGAGGACCCAAAGGACTTAAAGGAATGCATGGTATGTATCAACATCCGTGTGTGTCAAAAGCAATCTGGTAAAAATGCATCGAAAGTGCTTGTTTTAGCTCATTCAAATCATTCTCATTGTCTGTATTCGCAGCATTTTAAAATCTATGAAAGATTGCAAACAACTCATCTTTTTAATTTCTTAAATAACATGTTTGCATATCAATTCAATGTTAAAGCCATGTATATATGTCTTGGATATTGTGAGAAACAAAAATATTTTCGACTATGAAAATCTTTCTTTTCTTAGTGTTAAACATTATTGTTTTTAAATTTGCAAACATCAGATATAAAAAATCTTTAGATAAATGAATTTGATTTTTTTTCATATAAGGAATTTGAATTTTTGTTTCAAATTGCTATGACTATACTTAACCTTTTGTAAAAAGCTCAATGTTTCATTTCCAACATGGTAAACAAAACAAAGTCAATACCATAATAAAAAAAAGTATTTAAGAAGAAAATTGCCGTCAAAACGTGAAATCGTCAATTGAGCATTAGACAATGTAGTTTATTCTATAGGCTTGATTTATATTTCTAACGTACGGCCCCTTTTGACTTTGGGCATTCAAGATAACCTTTAGTAAGATTTCCAGTCATCTTTGACTCACACAAGCTCTGGAAGATGAGATATGTCATTTCAAAGAATTTGCATGATAACTTTGCAAATCAGCAGTCGAGTTAACACATCAATAGAAGAGAAAATGAAAACGGGTAATGTGTGAGAAAAACATTAAATCGATTAAAGTGCAAAAACAGCACAAGGCCACCAGTGGGTTCTCCAAGAAGTAGGAAATCTTGCAATAAAGATACATACAGCTATACGCACAGAAAAACTCAGTTTTAATGAAATCAGAGTCCTATGTAACATGTGTAAGAATAAGAAACAGGAGAAACTAAGCAAAATGACAATCATAAACATAAATTAACAAAGGACTTCAAGCAGTTACTGTCGTGCTAGCTCCTGACCTCAACTAAACTGATCGTACGGTTTATATCGTCTTCAATTGACCAAAATAATCAATGTCTTTCGTAGTATTATATAGATGGAAATCTGTTTTCCAGGAAGACAAGGACCACCAGGACCTAGAGGACCTAGAGGACCACTAGGATATAAAGGAATGAATGGTATGTATCAACATCCGTGTGTGTCTAAAGCAATCTGGTAAAAATGCATCGCATGTCCTTGTGAGAAACAAAGAATAGGGTACGACTAAAACACTTTAAGTCAGAAAACTTTCAAAAAGAAACATTTTGATATCATAACAATGATGGCATTACATATTTACTGTATTAATGTAAGAGATTGAACAAATCTTTTACAATCTCACTTTTAAAAAGAAATTATAGTGGCCACTTGCAATTGTTTGACAAAAAAAAATGTCTCATTTCTAGCAGTAGTTTGTGATCTTGTCCTAGCGAATGTAATGGATTATGTGCTAGGATTTGAAGGTGAAAAAAAAACTTATTATCATGAAGAAAACTTTTCGCATATAAAAGAAAAATAAACTAAAAAGAATAAGAATAAACAAATTAACCTTGTAACTCCCACAGTTATATCAACACCTGACAGATATGGAACCGTATGCAGGCTTATCAAAAAGTCATAGATTGATATTAAGATCTCAATGACATAAAGTTTACTCTTAAGTATTTACCTTTGTTCCTTGTGCGTAGTTATCAATGGTTAAAGAATAAAAAATATGTTCGACTATAAAAAAAACATTCTTTTTCTTAGTGTTAAGCGTTGCTATTTTAAAAGATGCAGACATCAGATGACACAAATCTTTATTTGAATGAATTTAAGTATTTATTTCATACAAAGGAACTTGAATTTCTGGTTCCGATTTCCATGACTTTACTTAACCTTTTGCAAAAAGCTTAATGTTTTATTTCAAACATGGTTAACATTAAAACGAAGTCAATGCCCTAATTAAAAAAAAAATGATTAACAAGGAAATTGCCGTTAACACATATAATCTCCAATAGAGCATAAGACAGCTTAGTTCATTTTTATAGGTATTTTGTTTTATATTTCAAATATACGGCCCCATTTCGACTATAGGCATTTAAGACACCCTCTAGTAAGATTTTACAGTCTTCACTGACTCAAATCAGCTGTGTCAGACGGGAAATTTCCCTTCAAAGGACTTTCATGTTAAGTTTGCAAATCAGCAGTCGAGTTAACACATCAGTAGAATAGAAAATAGAAAAAGGGAATGTGAGAAGTATAAAACAACCCGATCAAAGTTCAAAAACATCACACGGCCGACAGTTGGCCTTCAAAGAAGTAAGAAATCATACAATATACAAACACACACTATGACGCACAGTAAAACTCAGGTTTAAAGATATCAGAGTCCTTTGAAAGAAGAAACTAAGCGAAATGACAATCATCAACATAAATTTCCAAAGGATTACTAGCAGTTACTGCCATGCTAGCTCCAGACCTCAATTAAACTGTTCAAACAATTATGTCTTCATCAAATGACCAAAAAAACAATGTCTTTCGTAGTATTATATTTCTGGCAATCTGTTTTCCAGGAGATAAAGGATCACCAGGACTTAGAGGACCCAAAGGACCTAAAGGAATGCATGGTATGTATCAATACTCATGTGTCAAAAGCAATCAGGTAAAAGTGCATCGTATGTGCTTGCTTTAACTCATACAAATCATTCGCATTGTTTGTATTCGCAGCATTTCAAAATCTTTGAAAGTTTGCAAACAACTCATCTTTTTTATTTCTTAACCATGTTTGCATATCTTTTAATTTAAAAGCCATGAATATATATATATATATGTGTGTTCTTGCATATCATGAGAAACAAAGAAGAAGGTACGATTAAAACAGTTTAAGTCATAGAATAAAAAAAAAAAATATTCGGTTTCATAATATTGATGGCTTTCAATATTATCTATCTTAATGTGAGATTGAACAAATCACTTAAAATGTCACCTTTTAATGAGATATTCAAGCGGCCACTTGTAATTAATTGACAAATATAAATATATTCTTTCTAGCAGTAGTTTGCGCTGCTGTTCTAGCGGGTGTACCGGATAATGTTCCAGGATCTGGACATAAACAACATTATTGTCATGAAAAACTTTTAACGAATAAAATAGAAAAAGAAAGTATAAAATATAAGAATAAAAAAAAAATGAATCTTGTACTTCTTACTGAGTTTTGGGATGTTCCATGTCAAAGTTACATCTAAATCGGACAGAAATGATGGAACCCGATCAAAGTACAGCACAAGGCCACCATTGGGTCCCTTAAGAAGTTATCAATCTTGCAATAAAAATACATAACAATACGCACAGTAAAACTCAGATTTAATGAAATCCGAGACCTATGTAAGAATTGGAAACAGGAGAAACTAAGCAAAATGACAATCATAAACATAAATGAACAAAGAACTACTAGCAGTTACTGTCGTGCTAGCTCCAGACCTCGATTAAGCTAATCGAACGATTATTTCTTCATCAAAAGACCAAAAAAAGCAATGTCTTTCGTAGTATTATATTGATGGCAATCTGTTTTCCAGGAGCTAAAGGACAACCAGGACCTAGAGGACCGAAAGGACATAAAGGACCTAAAGGAATGAATGGTATGTGTCAATATTCGTGTTTGTCAAACCAAATCCGGTAAAAATGCATTGCACGTGCTTGCTTAAACCAAGAAATCATTCGCATTGTTTGTATTCGCAGCATTTGAAAATCTTTGAAAGATTGCCAACAACTCATCTTTTTAATTTCTTAAATAACATGTGTGCATATCTGTTCAATTGTAAAGCCATGTATATCATGTATATATCTATGTGTTCTTGCATATTGTGAGAAACAAAGAAGGCGGTATGATTGAAACACTTTAAGTAATAGAACTTTGAATAAAAAACAATATTCGGTTTCATAATAATGATGGCATTCAATATTCCGTATATTAATGTGAGATTATAGAAATCACTTAAAGTTTGAACTTTTAAAGAGATATTCCAGCAGTCACTTGCAATTACTGGGCAAATATAAATGTATCATTTCTAGCAGTAGTTTGCGCTGCTGTTCTAGCGTATGTAATGGATAATGTGCTAGGATCTGGACATAAACAACATTATTGTCATGAAAAAACTTTTTCGAATAAAATAGAAAAATAAACTATAAAATATAAGAATAAAAAAAATGAATCTTGTAACTTTTACTGAATTTTGGGATGTTCCATGTCATATCTAAATCCGACAGAAATGGAACCGTATGCATGCTAATTTTAAAGTCATAGATTGACATTAAAATCTAAATAACATTACGTTTCCACTAAAGTATTTATCTGTGTTCCTTGTGAGTAGTGATAAATGGTTTAAAATAATAATAATTTCGACTGTGAACATCATTTTTTTATCTTAGTGTTAAGCATTGCTATTCTAAAAGAATACATATTTTGTTAGAAATCTTTATTTAAGTGAATTGAAGTATTTTTCATATAAAGGAACATGAATTGTTGGTTCAAATTGTTATGACTATACTTAATCTTTTGCAAAAAGCTCAATGTTTCATTTACAACATGATAACCATTCAAATGAAGTCAATACCTTAATAAAAAAAGAACATTTAAGAAGAATTGCCGTCAACCTGTGTAATCTTCAATAGAGCATAAGACAATGTAGTTTATTCTATAGGTTTGTTTCAATTTCTTACGTACCGCCCCTTCGACTTTGGGCATTCAAGATACCCTCTAGTAAGATTTCCAGTTATCACTGACTCAAAAAGCTTTGTAAGATGGGAGATGTCACTTCGAAGAATTTGCATGATAAATTTGCAAATCAGCAGTCGAGTTAACTCATCAATAGAATAAAAAATGAAAACGGGGGATGTGTGAAAGAAACAAAAACCTGATTAAAGTACAAAAAAAGCACAAGGCCACCAGTGGGTCCATTAGGAAGTGAGAAATCTTGCAATAAAAACAATCTTGCAATACGCACAGTAAAACTCAGTTGTAATGAAATCAGAGTCCTATATAAGAATGGGAAACAGGCGAAACTAAGCAAAATGACAATCATAAACATAAATGTACAAAGGACTACTAGCAGCTACTGTCGTGCTAACTCCATACCTCAATTAAACTAATCGAACGATTATGTCTTCATCAAAAGACCAAAATAATCAATGTCTTTCGTAGTATTATATTGATGGCAATCTTTTTTAGGAGCTAAAGGACGACCAGGACCTAGAGGACCGAAAGGACATAAAGGACCTAAAGGAATGAATGGTATGTATCAATATTCGTTTGTGTCAAACCAAATCCGGTAAATGTGCATCGTATGTGCTTACTTAACCCAAGTAATCATTCGCATTGTTTGTATTCGGAGCATTTGAAAATCTTTGAAAGATTGCCAATAACTCATCTTTTTAATTTCTGAAATAACATATGTGTATATCTGTTCAATTGTAAAGCCATGTATATCATGTATATAGCTATGTGTTCTTGCATATTGTGAGAAAACAAAGAAGACAGAATGATTGTAACACGTTCAGTCATAGAAATTTTCAAAAAAAAAAAAAAAACAATATTCGGTTTCATATTAATGACGGCATTCAATATTCTCTATCTCAATGTGAGATTGAATAAATCACTTACACTATTAGCTTTTAAAGAGATATTCAAGCGGCAACTTATAATTAATTGACAAATATAAATATATCCTTTCTAGCAGTAGTTTGCGCTGCTGTTCTAGCGGGTGTACCGGATAATGTTCCAGGATCTGGACATAAACAACATTATTGTCATGAAAAACTTTTCGAATAAAATAGAAAAATAAACTATGAAATATAAGAATAAAAAATATGAATCTTGTAACTTTTACTGAATTTTTGGATGTTCCATGTCAAAGTTACATGTAAATCGGATAGAATTGGAACCGTATACATGCTTATTTTAAAGTCATAGACTGAAATTAAGATCTCAATAACATAAAGTTTACACTAAAGTATTTACATCTTTGTTCTTTGTGAGTATTGATGAATTGTTTAAAATAACAATAATTTCGACTGTGAACATCATTCTTTTTCTTATTGTTAAGCATTGATATTCTAAAAGAATACATATTGTATAAGAAGTCTTTATTTAAGTGAATGAAGTATTTTTCATATAAAGGAACTTGAATTTTTTATGCAAATTAATACGACTATATTTAACCTTTTGCAAAAAGCTCAATGTTTCATTTCCAACATGGTAAACATTTAAATGAAGTCAATACCGTAATAAAAAAACATGTAAGAAGGAAACTGCCGTCAACACGAGTAATCTTCAATAGAGCATAAGGCAATGTTGGTTTTTCTATAGGTTTGTTTTATAATTCTAAGTACTGCCCCTTTCGACTTTGGGCATTCAAGATACCCTCTAGTAAGATTTCCAGTTATCACTGACTCAAAAAGCTTTGTAAGATGGGAGATGTCACTTCGAAGAATTTGCATGATAAATTTGCAAATCAGCAGTCGAGTTAACTCATCAATAGAATAAAAAATGAAAACGGGGGATGTGTGAAAGAAACAAAAACCTGATTAAAGTACAAAAAAAGCACAAGGCCACCAGTGGGTCCATTAGGAAGTGAGAAATCTTGCAATAAAAACAATCTTGCAATACGCACAGTAAAACTCAGTTGTAATGAAATCAGAGTCCTATATAAGAATGGGAAACAGGCGAAACTAAGCAAAATGACAATCATAAACATAAATGTACAAAGGACTACTAGCAGCTACTGTCGTGCTAACTCCATACCTCAATTAAACTAATCGAACGATTATGTCTTCATCAAAAGACCAAAATAATCAATGTCTTTCGTAGTATTATATTGATGGCAATCTTTTTTAGGAGCTAAAGGACGACCAGGACCTAGAGGACCGAAAGGACATAAAGGACCTAAAGGAATGAATGGTATGTATCAATATTCGTTTGTGTCAAACCAAATCCGGTAAATGTGCATCGTATGTGCTTACTTAACCCAAGTAATCATTCGCATTGTTTGTATTCGGAGCATTTGAAAATCTTTGAAAGATTGCCAATAACTCATCTTTTTAATTTCTGAAATAACATATGTGTATATCTGTTCAATTGTAAAGCCATGTATATCATGTATATAGCTATGTGTTCTTGCATATTGTGAGAAAACAAAGAAGACAGAATGATTGTAACACGTTCAGTCATAGAAATTTTCAAAAAAAAAAAAAAAACAATATTCGGTTTCATATTAATGACGGCATTCAATATTCTCTATCTCAATGTGAGATTGAATAAATCACTTACACTATTAGCTTTTAAAGAGATATTCAAGCGGCAACTTATAATTAATTGACAAATATAAATATATCCTTTCTAGCAGTAGTTTGCGCTGCTGTTCTAGCGGGTGTACCGGATAATGTTCCAGGATCTGGACATAAACAACATTATTGTCATGAAAAACTTTTCGAATAAAATAGAAAAATAAACTATGAAATATAAGAATAAAAAATATGAATCTTGTAACTTTTACTGAATTTTTGGATGTTCCATGTCAAAGTTACATGTAAATCGGATAGAATTGGAACCGTATACATGCTTATTTTAAAGTCATAGACTGAAATTAAGATCTCAATAACATAAAGTTTACACTAAAGTATTTACATCTTTGTTCTTTGTGAGTATTGATGAATTGTTTAAAATAACAATAATTTCGACTGTGAACATCATTCTTTTTCTTATTGTTAAGCATTGATATTCTAAAAGAATACATATTGTATAAGAAGTCTTTATTTAAGTGAATGAAGTATTTTTCATATAAAGGAACTTGAATTTTTTATGCAAATTAATACGACTATATTTAACCTTTTGCAAAAAGCTCAATGTTTCATTTCCAACATGGTAAACATTTAAATGAAGTCAATACCGTAATAAAAAAACATGTAAGAAGGAAACTGCCGTCAACACGAGTAATCTTCAATAGAGCATAAGGCAATGTTGGTTTTTCTATAGGTTTGTTTTATAATTCTAAGTACTGCCCCTTTCGACTTTGGGCATTCAAGATATCCTCTAGTAAGATTTCCAGTCATCACTGACTCAAACAAGCTTTGTAAGATAGGAGATGTCACCTCGAAGAATTTGCATAATAACTTTGCAAATCAGCAGTCGAGTTAACACATCAGTAGAATAGAAAATGGAAACGGGGAATGTGTAAAAGAAACAACAACCCGATCAAAGTACAAAAAAAAAAAAACACAAGGCCACCAGTGGGTCCCTTCAGAAGTGATAAATCTTGCAATCAAAACACTCAGCAATATGCACAGTAAAAGGCAGTTTTAATGAATTCAGAGTCCTATATAAGAATAGGAAACAGGAGAAACTAAGCAAAACGACAAACATAAACATAAATGAACAAAGGGCTACTAGCAGGTATTGTCGTGCTAGCTACTGACCTCAATTAAACTAATCGAACGATTATGTCTTCATCAAAAGACCAAAAAAATCAATGTCTTTCGTAGTATTATTTTGATGGCAATCTGTTTTCCAGGAGATAAAGGACGACCAGGACCTAGAGGACCGAAAGGACATAAAGGACCTAAAGGAATGAATGGTATGTGTCAATATTCGTGTGTTTTAAACCCAATCCGGTAAATGTGCATCGCACGTGCTTGCTTAAACCAAGAAATAATTCGCATTGTTTGTATTCGCAGCATTTGAAAATCTTTGAAAGATTGCCAACAACTCATCTTTTAAATTTCTTAAATTACATGTGTGTTTATCTGTTCAATTGTAAAGCCATGTATATCATCTATATATCTATGTGTTCTTGCATATTGTGAGAAACAAAGAAGATGGTATGATTGAAACACTTAAAGTCATAGAACTTTAAATAAAAAAATAAACATTATTCGGTTGAATAATAATGACGGCACTCAATATTCTCTATATTAATGTGAGATTGAACAAATCATTTAAAATTTGAACTTTCAAAGAGATATTCAACCGGCCACTTGCAATTACTTAACAAATATAAATGTATCATTTTTAGAAGTAGTTTGCGCTGCTGTTCTAGCGTGTGTACTGGATAATGTGCTAGGATCTGGACATAAACAACATTATTGTCATGAAATTTTTTTTCGAATAAAATAGAAAAATAAACTTTAAAATATCAGAATAAAAAAAATTAATCTTGTAACTCTTACTGAATTTTGGGATGTTCCATGTCAAAGTTATATCTAAATCGGACAGAAATGGAACAGTATGCATGCTTATTCTAAAGTCATAGATTGAAATTAAGATCTCAATAACATTAAGTTTACACTAAAGTATTTACCTTTGTTCCTTGTGAGTAGTGATAAATTTTTTAAAATAATAATATTTTCGACTGTGAACATTACTTTTTTTCTTAGTGTTAAGCATTGCTATTCTAAAAGAATACATATTGTGTAAGAAATCTTTATTTAAGTGAATTGAAGTATTTTTCATATAAAGGAATATGAATTGTTGGCTCAAATTGCTATGACTATACTCAACCTTTTGGAAAAAGCTATGTTTCATTTCCTACATGGTTAACATTAAAAAAAATTAAATACCATAATAAAAAAAACATTTCAGAAGGAAATTGCCGTCAATACGTGTAATCTTCAATAGAGCATATTCTATAGGTTTTTTATAATTCTTACATACGACCCCCTTCGACTTTGACATTCAAGATATCCTCTAGTAAGATTTCCAGTCATCACTGACTCAAACACGCTTTGTAAGATGGGAGATGTCACTTCGAGGAATTTGCATGATAACTTTGCAAATCAGCAGTCGAGTTAACTCATCAATAGAATAGAAAATGAAAACGGGGAATGTGTGAAAGAAACAACAACCCGATCAAAGTACAAAAACAGCACAAGGCCATCATTGGGTTCCTTAAGAAGTGAGAAATCTTGCAATAAAAACACATAGCAATACGCACATCATAACTCAGTTTTAATGAATTAAAAGTCGTATGTAATAATAGAAAACAGAAGAAACGAAGCAAAATGACAATCGCAAACATGAATTAAAAAAGGACTACTAGCAGTTATTGTCGTGCTAGCTCTAGACCTCAATTAAACTAATCGAACGATTATGTCTTCATCAAAAGACAAAAAAATCAATGTCTTTCGTAGTATTATATTGATGGCAATCTGTTTTCTAGGAGCTAAAGGACGACCAGGACCTAGAGGACCGAAAGGACATAAAGGACCTAAAGGAATGAATGGTATGTGTCAATATTCGTGTGTGTCAAACCCAATCCGGTAAATGTGCATCGTATGTGCTTACGTAAACCAAGAAATCATTCGCATTGTTTGTATTCGGAGCATTTGAAAATCTTTGAAAGATTGTTAATAACTCATCTTTTTAATTTCTTAAATAACATATGTGTATATCTGTTCAATTGTAAAGCCATGTATATCATATATATATATAGCTATGTGTTCTTGCATATTGTGCGAAAACAAAGAAGATGGTATGATTGAAACACTTTAAGTCATAGAACTTTACAAATAAAAAAAAACAATATTCGGTTTCATAATAATAATGGCATGCAATATTCTCTATCTTAATGTGAGATTGAACAAATCACTTAAAATATCAATGTTTAAAGAGATATTCCAGCGGCCATGTGGAATTGCTTGACAAATATAATGTATCATTTCTAGCAGTAGTTTGCGCTGATATTCTAGCGTATGTACTGGATAATGTGCTAGGATCTAGACATAAACAACATTATTGTCATGAAAAAACTTTTCGAATAAAATAGAAAAATAAACTATAAAATATAAGAATAAAAAAGATGAATCTTGTAACTCTTACTGAATTTTTGGATGTTCCATGTCAAAGTTATATCTAAATCAGATAAAATTGGAAACGTATGCATGCTTATTTTAAAGTCATAGATTGAGATAAAGACCCCAATAACATTAAGTTTACACTGAAGTTTCACCTTTGTTCCTTGTGAGTAGTTATAAATTCTTGAAAATAATAATATTTTCGACTGTGAACATCATTCTTTTTCTTAGTGGTAAGCATTGCTATTCTAAAAGAATACATATTGTGTAAGAAATCTTTATTGAAGTGAATGGAAGTATTTTTCATATAAAAAAACTTTAACTTTTGGTTCAAATTGCTATGACTATACTTAACCTTTGGCAAAAAGCTCAATGTTTTATTTTAAACATGGTTAATATTAAAACGAAGTCAATACCATAATAATTAAAAAAAATTAACATTTATGATGGAAATTGCGGTCAAGACGTGTAATCTTTGATAGAGCATAAGACAATGTAGTTTATTCTATATGTTTGTTTTATATTTTTAACGTACAGCCCTTTTCGACTATGGGCATTCAAGATACCCTCTACTAAGATTTCCAGTCATCGCTAACTAAAACAAGCTTTGTAGTAATGGAGATTTCACTTCGAAGAATTTACATGCTAACTTTGCAAATCAGCATTCGAGTTAATACATTAATAAAATAGAAAATGGAAAACGGGGAATGTGTGAAAGAAACAGCAACCTAATCAAAGTACAAAAACAGCACAAGGCCACCAGTGGGTTCCTAAAGAAGTGAGAAATCTTGCAATAAAACACATAGCAATTCGCACAGTAAAATGAAGTTTCAATGAAATCAAAGTCCTATGTAAGAATGGGAAATAGGAGAATTTAAGCAAAATGACAATCATAAACATAAATTAACAAAGGACTACTAGCAGTTACTGTCGTGCTAGCTCCTGACCTCAATTAAACTAATCGAACGATTATGTCTTCATCAAAAGACCAAAAGATCAATGTCTTTCGTAGTATTATATTGATTGCAATCTGTTTTCCAGGAGATAAAGGACCACCAGGACCTAAAGGAATGAATGGTACGTATCAATATTCGTGTGTGTCAAACCCGATCCGTTAAAAATGCATCGCATGTGCTTGCTTAAACCAAGAAATCATTCGTATTGATAGTATTCGCAGCATTTGAAAATCTTTGAAAGATTGCCAACAACTCATCTTTTTAATTTCTTAAATAACATGTGTGTAAATATGTTCAATTTAAAGCCATGTATATCATGTATATATCTATGTGTTCTTGCATATTGTGAGAAACAAAGAAGACGGTATGATTGAAACACTAACAGTCATAGAACTTTAAAAAAAGATATTCGGTTTCATAATAATGATGGCATTCAATATCCTCTATCGTAATGTGAGATTGAACAAACCACTTAAAATATCAACTTTTTTAGAGATATTCCAGCGGCCACTTGCAATTGCTTGACAAATATAAATGTATCATTTCTAGCAGTAGTTTGCGCTGCTGTTCTAGCGTATGTACTGGATAATGTGCCAGGATCTGGACATAAACAACATTATTGTCATGAAAAAACTTTTCGAATAAAATAGAAAAATTAATTATAAAATAGAAAAATAGAAAAAATGAATCTTGTAACTCTTAATGAAATTTGGGATGTTCTATGTCAAAGTTATATTTAAATCGGACAGAAATGGAACCGTTTGCATGCTTATTTCAAAGTCATAGATTGAAATTAAGATTTCAATAAAATAAAGTTTGCACTAAAGTATCTACCTTTGTTCCTTGTGAGTAGTGATAAATTGTTTTAAAATAATAATAATTTCGACTGTGAACATCAATCTGTTTCTTAGTGTTAAGCATTACTATTCTAAAAGAATACATATTGTGTAAGAAATCTTTATTTAAGTGAATTGAAATATTTTTCATATAAATGAACTTAAAGTTTTGGTTCAAATTGCTATGACTATACTTAACCTTTGGCAAAAAGCTCAATGTTTCATTTCCGGCATGGTAAACATTAAAACGAAGTCAATTCCATAATTAAACAAAAGACATTTAAGAAGGAAACTGCCGTCAACACGAGTAATCTTCAATAGAGCATAAGAAAATGTAGTTTATTCTATAGGTTTGTTTTATATTTCTAACGTACGGCCCCTTTCGACTTTGGGCGTTCAAAATACCCTCTTGTAAGATTTCCAGTCATCACTGACTCAAACAAGCTTTGCAAGATGGGGGATGTCACTTCGAAGAATTTGCATGATACCTTTGCAAATCAGCAGTCGAGTTAACACATCAATAGAATAGAAAATGAAAACGGGGAATGTTTGAAAGTAACAGCGGTGGGAATTTTTTCCCTTTAAGATATTTCGTTCTTCAATTGACAGAGAATCAAATTTTGCCGAAAAAAATATTTGACGTAGATTTCGTCTTTGCAAAGAATGCGGCTGAAAATTGAACATTTTTGCACTTTTGGAGAAAATAACCATTTTTATTAAAAAAAAATAAATATGATTTTTTGATCAACATATACTTATGTAATGGGGCTCAAATTAAAGCAAAACAATTCAAGATTCTTAGAAAAATCTAACTTTACCATTAAAAGCATTAGTTCTTACTCAAATAAAGCCAAAAACGTTATGGTTTTCCCAAAAAACGGCAAGTAATGAACAATAAAAATGCACATTTTGGATATTTAAAAGTATTTGCAACGGTGTTGATTTGGCCAAAATAAGATATGCTATTCTTTAAAAAATGGAAACGTCATAACA